ACACCTTTAAGAAGACAGAAATCATATGGTGTCTGCTCTCAGGTGACAATAGAATTAAACTAGGTATAAATAACAGAAAAGTAGCTGGCAAATCCCCAAATTTTCAACTTTAACAACATACTTCTTAAGATTTTTGTTTTTTTACATTTATTTGAGAGAGGGAATGTGTGCACGAATAAGCAGTAGGAGCAGAGGGAGAGGGAGAAGCAGACTCCCCACTGAACAGGGAACTGGACACAGCACTTGATCCCAGGACCCCAAGACCATGACCAGAGCCAAAGGCAGATACTTAACCGACTGAGCCACCAGTCACCCCTTAAACAACACACATCCAAAGAAGAAATCTCAAGAGAATTTTTAAAATATTTGAAGTAAATGAAAATGAAAATTTATCAAAACTTGTTAGGTGCAGTGAAAGTAGTGGTTAGAGGGATATTTATAGCATTGAGTGCATGCATTAGAAGAAAGACCTATAAACAATCATCTAAGCTTCCACTTTAGGAAACTTAAAAAGGAAGAGAATATTAAATGCAAAGTAAGAAGAAACAAAAATCGACAGAAATCAAAGACATTGAGAACAGAAAATCAATAAGAGAAAATGGATGAGACCAAAAGCTCATTCTTTAAAAATACCAATAAAATTGATAAGCCTCTAGCCAGGTTAACGGATGAAAAAAGAAAGATGACATACTGTAGATTAGAAGTTGCTTGGGGTTGGGAGGAGTTGGTTTCGGGGAATTGAGAAGATGGAGCAATAACCGTGAGGCACGGAATTTCTTTTTGAGATGATGAAACTTTTAAAATGAACTGTGGTGATAGTTTAATCTGTGAATCTACTAAAACCGCTGAGTTGTATTCTTAAGCTAGATGAAGTGTGTGTTATAAGGATTTTTTTTCAATCTTTTTTTTTTTTTTTAAGTAGATTTTTGACTTCTGGTATGACAAACTGAGAAGTTCAATAAATTCTCTCCAAAAAAGGACAACACTGGACAGAAGTGTCAAAAACAACAATTTTAGGGCTCTATAAACTAACAAACATCATACAACAAAATAGTAGTGTTATTCATGACAAGCCACTGACCTCTGAGTAAGAACAGCATTTGTCTGACAACATTGCTTGGGGCTGCACCCATCATCCTCCCCTTACCCAGCTCAGATAGCCTGGTAATTCCACCAGAGTCAGGCGAGCTATGAAAACCAGCAGCTTTGCCTTTGGAGGGGCTCCCTTGATTTGGAATGGAGTGCAGTAAAACCACTCACCCAGCAGTAATGCTAGTAATCAGAACTGTGAGACAACACATCTCAGTTGTTTTAAGCCACCTGATCTGTTGTACTTTGCTACAGCAGCTGTAGGAAAGTAATACAGTATTAATCTCAAGTATCTGTGATGAATTAAGATGCACATTTTCATCACCAGAGGAATCACTAAAAAAGTAACTCAAGAAATACAGTTCTTTTAAAAAGTGGGAATTAAAATGGTGTGCACACACACACAAACCAAAAACAAAAACAACAGTAAAAAACTCACTATCACAAAAAAATAAGGAGAAACAGAAACAAAAGATATAAGCCATATAGAAAATGAAATGACAGTCATAACTCCAATCATATCAACAATTATATTAAATGTGAATGGATTAAACACTTATATCAGAAGGCAGAGATTGTGAGGGATCTTACAATATACAGAGGGGCTAAGATTTAAAAATTAACAGTATCAAATATTGATGAGGCTATTAAGCAACTGAACTCATACACTGTTTATAGAAGTAAATTGACACAATTTTTAATTTTTTAAGAGATTTTATTTTTAAGTAATCTCTACAACCCAATGTGGGTCTTGAACTTACAAACCCAAGATCAAGAGTCACATGCTCTACCAACTGAACCACACAGGTGCCCCTAGATATTGCTAGTTTTAAAAAATCAGATCAGCTGGCAATTTTTATTTTTAAAAAGTAAAATAAAAGTTTTTAAAATTTTTTATTTAGGGAAAAAAGCATCTAGACCTCTAGACTGGCAGAGGAGGGAGAAACAGAGTCCCTGATAAGCAGGAAGCCCAATGCAGGGGCTCCATCCCAAGACCTTGGGATCATGACCTGAGCCAAAGGCAGACACTTAACCAACTGACCCACCCAGGCACTCCTCTCCAACCCACTTTACGTCTTTTCTTTTTCTCTATGTTATTATTTTGGACAAGATGTACACAACATTGAATTCATCATAATCCTCTTTTTGTGGGACCTATCACTGTTGGTCTGTGCCAGGCCCTTAATTTTTTTTTTTTTTTGGTTCCTCCTTTTTCTTTATTGTCAATTTCATTTCCTTCAACTTCATAGATATTCACTCTTGCATAATGAATGGTGACTTTATAATTTATCACCCACACTTTTATTTATATATACTTTTACCCATGAATGATACATAATATTGCAGGGGTTTTTTTTGCTAGTTTTAAAATATATATAAAGACTTTTGCTATACATCCATTCAACATTGCTTTTTATATCTCTCTGAGTTGATATAAGTAGATCACATCCATTCCTGCTGACAGCTGTAGAGTATTATATATATACTATTTATTTATCTCCTATTGATGAATATTGGTGAGTATCTCCTTTAATATATAACTGTGTTATAATGAAGGTTTATTTAACTGTCTTGTTCATGACTATGTGATAATTGTCTGCCTAAACCTATTTTCAGTAAGTATTCTCATATTGCTGTCTAGAATGACAATGTCACTATAGTTCCCATCAGTTGTGTGAGCAAAAAGTGATTTTCTCACATCCCAGGCAGCATTTGATGCTGTCCATCCCAAATGTTTTTGCCAGTCTGATGGCTATAAAGTGACATCTCCTTGTTGTCATTTGTATTTCTCTGGTTCCTAATAAGGGTGACATCTTTTTATGTGTTAACCAGCTATTAGAGTGTTCTCATGTGCAAATTTCTTATTAATTTTCTTGGTCAATTTAAAAAATTGGACTTACTGTCTTTTTTTAATGAACTTACAGTAGTTTCAAATGTATCTTAGATTAACATTATAGATATTAATCATTTCTTGGTTGTTTAGGTTGCAAATGTATTTCCCAGACTGTTGTCTTTCTCTAAGAATGGTGTTTTTCACTGAACCCAAATCTTTCCTTTTGATGACCTCAAATTCATCATTTTTTCTCCCTATGATTTTGCTACCTTGTATCTTAAGACATTCTTTCCTAACCTAACATTTAAAAACTGGTACCCTTCTTTTTTTTCTTAAGAATGTTATGGTTTGGAATGCCCGGGTGTTCAGTCAGTTAAGCATCTGCCTTTGGCTCAGGTCATGATCCCAGGGTACTGGGATCGAGTCCCACATCAGGGCTCCTTGCTCAGCAGAGAGTCTGCTTCTTCCTCTGCCAACAAATAAATAAAAAAAAAATATTTTTTTTAAAAGCCCAGTAATTTAAAAAAAAAGGATATTATGGTTTTAGGAGTGCCTGGGTGGCTCAGTAGGTTAAGCATCTGCTTTTGCCTCAGGTCATGATCACAGGGTCCTGGGCTCAAGTCCCAGGATCCGCTCTCTGCTCAGCAAGAAGTCTGCTTCTCCCTCTGCCTCTGCTCCTCTCCTCTGTCCTGGACTCTCTGTCTCTCAAAAACAACAACAACAACAACAACAACAAAAATCTTTTTTTTTTTTAAAGATTTTATTTATTTATTTGACAGAGAGAGATCACAAGTAGGCAGAGAGGCAGGCAGAGAGAGAGAGAGAGGGAAGCAGGCTCCCTGCTGAGCAGAGAGCCCGATGCGGGACTCCATCCCAGGACCCTGAGATCACAACCCGAGCCGAAGGCAGCGGCTTAACCCACTGAGCCACCCAGGTGCCCCAACAACAAAAATCTTAAAAAAAAAAAAAAAAAAAAAAAAAAAATTATGGTTTTACCTTTAAGTTTTGATCATGAATCTGTCTGGAGTTTTTTTGGGGGATACAGCGTTTGTATAGATTTGCTTCCCCCACCACACAAACAATGGGCCCATCTATTAAATAATCTTTTCTTTCCCACTCTGATCCTTAAGGCCACCATATAATATGGGGCCCTGCTGGTGGACTCCCTTCTGTCCCACTATTCATTTCTCCATTCCCATGCCAGTGTCACACTGTTCTAATGATGATGGCTTTGTGATATCCTTTAATATATAATAGGGCAAATCTCACCTCTTTGGTTTTTGTTTTGAAGATTGTCTTGGTTCTACATAAATTTTATTTTATATAAAATATAGAATCATTGCACAATTTTCCAAAAGTCCCCCTAGGATTTTTATTCCAATTATATTAGGCTTATACATTATATTATTAATCTGGATAGAATTGACACCTGTACAATTTTAAATATTCCCATCCATGAAAATGGCATTTACCCCCCCCCCCTTTCTTTTTATGTCCTTGTAGAGAAATTTAAACATTTTCCCCACAAAGGCCAAGTGCATTTTTGTTAGTGTGATCTCCGGACACTTATATGTTCATTGATGTGGTAAATGTCTTATTCTCCATCATACTTTCTATCGGATTTTCTGAATTCCTCACACAAAGAAAGATTACTCATTTTTATATTTGATGTTGAATACGGTCACCTGGCTGAACTCTCTTACCAGCTCTAATAACTTGTTGATTCTCTTGGACTTTCTGTGGCCATGATCATATCCTCTGCGCTTTCCACTAAACACGCTGCAAACTAAGGAAGCCAAAACTCGGACGGGGAGCGTCTCAGAACATACCTGTTTCCGGCCCCTGAGGGCTGGGGAATCCAGCCTGGGCGGACGGCTGGGCACCCCCGCCAGGTGGACCCACTGGACCGCACAGCGCTGGCCAGGAGGAGGCTCGCTCCCTGCCCGCAGCCCCCGCCCCAGCCAATCGCGGCGCGGACCCGCCAGGCTGGCCGGGAACGACCAATCGGCGGCTGCTCTCCTCCCGAGGCCGCTACGCCCGGGGGAAGGTGAGAGTAGTCGGCCGCTGGAAAACTGTCCCGGCAAGATGGCCCAGCGCTGATTTACGCGCCGGCCGCGCCGACGGTCACTCGTCCCCGGGTCTCGGAGCCCCCCGCCCGGCCCCCGAGCCTCGAAGCTTCACGGCCCTCGAGCTGTCCTGGCCTGTCTCGCCCATGGCGGTGGCCGCGCTGTACACGCAGGTACCTAAGGGCGGGCCCGCGGGAGGGAAGGTGGCCGGCGCTAACGCTGACTGTACCTGGCGCCCAGGCCACACCTGCGCACCTGGAGCGCTCGCCGTAAGGAAGCGCCGGGGGGCCTGGCTCTGGTCCCTGGCCGCGGGGCAAGCACCCTCTGGGAGCCTGGGTCCACTCGGGATGGGAAGACCAAGTGCGAGGGGCTGCCTTCCCCGACCCGAGCTTCCCCGTGCCCAGGGATCGCGCCCCCTGTCCCCCGCGCCTCTCCGCCCCCTCCTCCGGAGCCACAGGTGGAATCAGAGTTGCCCACGGGGACATAGAAATCTCAGACCCCGGCGAATAATAGTATCCATAATCTTCCTGACCCTCCTCGGAGCCCCTGAACAAGAAGCTTAGGACTACAGTATTCAGAATGCTTTCTAGAATTCCTGGGTCTTCAGAAATGCCTGCACGTGCATTTAAGTTCATCTCAAGTCCTAAGTGGCAGCTGCCTGGGCATTATGAGGCAAGCTTCAGCCGTAGGGGTTGAGGGCTTCTGTGAATCCCGAGGCCACGGGCTCTTCACCTCACACACATTGCTTTACAATTTATAAAGCACCTTTCACGTACACGCTGATTCTGGGAGTCACTCTAGAGCATTTCTTGCAAACTATGTCTTCCCCAGGGCTGAAGACTCCACCCGTTATATAGGAAGATAGCGTTCTGGCACCCAGGACCTCCTGAGACGAGCTTGGCTAATTATTTGGATAAAAAATAATTTGAAAAAAAATTTTTTTTGAATAGCCATAAAGTCGGATCCTCTCACACCCCAGCGGAGTAAACTCTATGGTTGCTCGTATTCTGATGGCTAAGACTAGAATCTATACCTTTCCCCCTGACACATGCCCTCGGTTTATATTTTAAAAGACACTTTGCTATAGATATATACGATGGTTATAAATAATTGTTTCAATGGTTTTTTCTTCTACTTTGCTGAATTAATAATACAAGTACAAATCATCCAAACATTACTGTGCCCTCTAACACATTTCCATTAACTAGAGTTCTAAATGGGCACTGTTTGAATCTCCACTATTCCAGAAGAGTTTACTGCTGAGTATGTGAGCCCTCAGATATCCAGCAGGGCTTCTGAGGTCCTCAGCTTACTGGAGGTAAAAGAAAATTTTGGAAAAAAGCAATGCTTGGAAGATATTTTGGAGTACAGAAAACTGTTGATTAACTTATTTTAGATAACTGGTTTTTTAGAAGCAAAAATACACAAATTAAGCTTTTGTATCATCAAGTGCCTTACACCACAAATATTTTAAAATACCAACTAGGTAGCAGGCATAATATAGGAAAACTGATATGGAAGAGTTTTCTAGAGAAGAGCTTGGATGGACAGAGAATCTGAGATTCCCAGAGCCAGAAGGAGCCCTGAGGGCCATCCCTTCTCACTTTGTATCCAAATAGGCACCTTTGTCCCAAGGCTGCCTCGTCCTTTCCAGGTGGCTAGTCAGTCCCCATAAGGTCAATTGCAGAGGTGGAAAGTTTTTATAACTGTTTAGGTTTTAGACAGCGTGCTTGTTAATTAGTTTTCCTGAATGGAAACAAAATCTAAGCCCTCTCCCTTGCTTCCCCATCACTTCCTGCAACATTCCCCAAGTCCACGGATCTAGCCATTTGTCCTTGAAGGCCAGCACAACAGGGTTGGCCTAAGTCGACATTCATGTCCGGGGACCCTTGGCCATCTTTATGTCCCAGGAGTGTTGCTTCTTTGCCCAGTTTAAGCCACAAAGCATTTTAAAGCAGCCTGAACCCCATTTCTGCACCCAGCGGCAAATAGTGACACTGCAGCAGGGTGACGGGGCGGAGGTGGCTCTCCGTGGGTGACAGCCGTACCACCCCTGATCTGTAGGCTACCCCGTTCACTCATGTCACACTTCACACTGTTACCTGCCTGCCCCCTGTTGAATCTTCCTTCTGGCATATGCCTTGAAGACAGATATATTATCAGCCATAAAACATTTGTTTAGTACTTTCTGATTAAAACATGTGCTTGGGGGAGGTTAGAAAGATTTTTTTTTAAGTGATAGAAATGAGAAATGTCGAATAATTCAGTTTGCTAAAGCCCTGCAGGGATGGAGGAGCCTGCCGGTGATAGAGCTGAGAAGAGAGGGTCACAGTGGCTGAAGGGTTAGGTCAGAGCTTTATACTCTGGCGCAGATTTTGAGCATGGGAAGACGGGACCAGGGCTGTGTTTGAGGAAGTGGGCTATGCCAGCCGTACCCATGGGACTCAGGGGGCTGGATTTCCAGGTCATCCTAAGTATCAGGGAGAGAATTAGGGCTGCCATATTGGACAGGGTGAATGGAGGCAGAATCCAGAGCGTGTGTGGAAGTAGGTGATGACAGGAATGGACTGGGTCGAGGGAGGAACCAGGGATGACATGGATTTCAGGGTCTGGATGATTGAGAGCAGGGGGTGCCGTGAACACACTGAGGCCCACCAGGAGGCGGTGAGCTTAGGAAGTCAGGAGGCAGACTTTGTCCCTGCAGGGCTTGAGGCGATGAAGGGGTTTCCCGGGGCCAGTGCCCTGGGTGGTTAGAGGTTGGTGGGGAGGTTGCACCAGAGTCTTCTGCCCCAAGGTAGGAATTGAAGCCCAGGCAGTGAGAGCCTTGCCAAGGGAGAGAAGAGAGCCAAGACAGTTCATGGAGGAACAAAACTATTCAGAGGGTGCCCAAGATGGAGCCGTGATAAGGAGGAGGATGTGGGAGAGCTGGCATGGGAGCCACAGGGAGAGAGGTTCTGAGAAATAGGGGACTCCTGGGAGGAAGTGTGCTGAGAGTAGCAATTGCTACTGGAGGAAGTGTAAAATGACCCTTCTCTTTTCAAAAGCTATTTGGCAACATGCCCTAGAAATGTTGAGAGCATTTCTCTTTGAGAGAAACCGGTTTGGCCATTCACTCTTCGAACCCTCTGGAAACCCCTGTCACTCTGAGACTCACTGACTAGCCGCAAGGTCCTGCCTCTGCATCTCCCCATTGCTCAACTCCTGCTCCGCAAACTTCTGGCAGCCCTTGGTGCACTCCTGCCCATTTGACACTCTATGCCTTAGCTTGCAGGGCTCTCTCCGCCTGAAATGACTGCTTTGCTTAGCAGCGCCTCACCTTCCAAATTCAATTTGACAGTGCCTCCTCTTTTTTTTTTTTTTTTTGTAGTTTCAGAGGTAGAATTTAGTGATTCTTAAGTTACATATAACACCCAGTGCTCATTATATCACATGCCTCCTTAATGCCCATCACTCAGTTACCCCATCTCCACATCCCCCTCCTTTTCCAGCAACACTCAGTTTGTTTCTTATAGTTAAGAGTCTCGTATGGTTTGTCTCTCTCTCTGATTTCATTCTTCCCTCCCTTCCCCTATGGTCCTCTGTCTTGTTTCTTAACTTCCACATATGAGTGAAATCATATGACGATTGTCTTTCGCTGATTGACTTATTTTGCTTAGCATAATACCCTCTGGTTCTATCTGTGTTGTTGCAAATGGTAAGATTTCAAAAAGAAATAAAAGGTATCCAAATTGGCAAAGAAGAAGTCACACTTTGGCTCTGCAGACAACACGATAAGGAGGAATAAAACCCCAAAGATTCCACCTAAAAATTGCTAGAACTCATTCAAGAATTCAGCACAGTGTCAGGGTATAAAATCAATGCACAGAAATCAATTGCATTTCTATACACTAACAATGAGACAGAAGAAAGAGAAATTAAGGAATTGATCCTATACACAAGTGCACCAAAGACTTTGAGATACCTAGGAGGAGTGTCTCCTGTGAGAAATCTTTACAACCAGCTCCACTATCTGGGCACCTTTTATTTTGACTTGTAAGCACTCATTTTCTTTTCTTTTTTTTTTTTTTTTAAGATTTTATTTATTTATTTGACAGAGAGACACAGTGAGAGAGGGAACACAAGCAGGGGGAGCCAGAGAGGGAGAAGCAGGCTTCCTGCTGAGTAGCGAGCTGGAGGCAGGGCTCCATCCCAGGACCCTGGGATCATGACCTGAGCCAAAGGCAGAGGTTCAACAACTGAGTCACCCAGGTGCCCACTCTTTTTTTTTTTTTTTTAAGATTTTAATAATTTATTTGAGAGAGTGAGCATGAGCAGGGGGAGAGGTAGAAGTAGAGGGAGAAGCAGACTCCCTGCTGAACAGGGAGCCTGATGTGGGGCTTGATCCCAGGACCACGGGATCATGACCTGAACCGAAGACAGATGTTTAACTGACTGAGCCACCCAGGCCCCCAGCTTGTAAGTGCTTATTAACTCTGTGTTCCCCTACTGACCGAGAGTTTCTAGAGAACAGGGAAAGGTGGGTCTCAATAAGCATTTTGTTATGCATCCATGAGTTTTTCTGCTTTCAGAAAGAGCTGTGAGCATGAAGAAGATGATGATAGTTGCTTTTATCTCACAGCCATGGAACACTTCTCATGTGCCAGATGCCAAGCTCACTTATGTGCCTTCTTTCATCTGAGTCAACAATGTTATGTGTGGACTTTGTTATCCCAATTTTACAAATGGCTCAGATTGAGTAAATTGCCTAAAGTTGCATAGAAGTGGAGGAGGAGGCCGGATTAAAAACCTGTGTTCTTAACCATGTTGTCACAAATGGCAAGATTTCATTTCTTTTGATGGCTGCATACTATTCCATTGTATATATATACCACATCTTCTTTATCCATTCATCTGTTGATGGACATCAAAAACCTGTGTTCTTAATACCTTCCACTACCACAACTGTGGTTCAAACACTTTCACCATCTTCCTCCTCTTCTCTCCGTTCTCTCAGAGGACTCATGGGAAGTCCATCCACTTCATAGCTGAGCATATGATCTACGTGTGTGTGGGCTTTGCTTTTTTTTTTCTTCATCTAAGTTATTGGTGAAAGTGGTAAATGGGTGGTGAGGCAGAGAGCTCTATGGCATGGCTCTAGAGATCTTTCTTAAATTGTTCTGGCTCATTAATCAGG